AATTTATTGGTCGAGTGTCCCAGAAGAAAATGCATTCTTCATAATTCTCTTAATGATTTTCACAGCGTTTACCAATCAAGCTTAAGTTTTACATCAAAACATTTCCTGTTCGATTCTCTATAAGTGGGTGAAACAGTTTCTATAATGACACATTATCAAGAGAGATGCTGAGTTAAAGAATAACATGGAACAAATTACTATATTCTGTACAATAGTTTTTTTTATTAAAAAACTATTTAAAAACTTCTAAAAAAGATTTGTTTCCCATATTTTATGGATATTTCTTAGACGTTAATGATTACTGCATTGGAATTGTTCTATTTCATAGAACAATATGAACCATATGGCAATATATAAATGTATTAAGGCCAAGGAACTTCTCTATAGATCATATTAAATCAATGACGTTATTTGCGACATTATCTTCAAAGTTATTATGTTATAAACTAAACTTAAATTACAACCAAAAGAAATTAAAAAAAGAAGATTCTACTTCTTAAGCAATAAAACAATCGAAAATTTTCATAAGAAATGCAAATCTTTTTCAATTGATTTTGCTGTAATCGGAGTTTAGTTTATAACATAACAGTTTTGAAAGTCATATCGAAAACAATGTCATTGTTATAAAATATAGCAATTTATTGTATCTTTTAATTTTAGAAACTTTTTCAATGTATTATAACTAAAATTGAATGTTAAAATGTTTTGATATTGAGCTTAGGTTTATATTGATAAGCCTTACAAGAATTATTAATAAAATCGGCAACTATCTATTTTTTCTGAGGCTTTGAATATATTTTTCACACAACTATTGCAGAAAATATGCAATCCAATCCATTAGTACCTTTATAAAACTATATTTGTTCTCGAAGGATATTCTATAAAAGTGAAAAATCATCGAAATATAAAAAATACTAATATCTCTCGGCTATTTAAGACCAATAGACTTTATAATGATGAGATTATTTTCATATGATCCTTCTCATTATAATATAGATGAATTCTTCTAATATGTGAAATCCTTTTTTTTCTTTTTTTAAAATAATATGTTTACTGAATATATTCTGAATGAATTCAATTCAACTAATTGGAGAAAATTGACAATAAATATGTTTTCATTTTTCCGTAAGAAAATTAGCATAAAAAAGTTTTTTGAAATCCTCTATTCGGATCTATCTACAAACGGAAGTCTAAAGACTCCATGCAGTACTCATACTATTTAACATAAAGAATTTTTTGACCTTCAAATCCACTAGAGCAAAGTAAAAAATAAAAAGATCAATGTGAACTCTAAATTCAACATAAATATAATTTCATAAATATATTCTAAAAATATTTTTATGCTTGTATGCATCGGTCAACTTGGATCAACATCAAAAAATACATCTTATTCATGTGTAATTTGCCATTCAACAAGAAAATTTTAACGATGAAATGGATCCCAGTATTGACATAAGACATTTCAAATTTATAGAAAACGATAGCAGAATAATTTTAAGTTCTATGCTGCCAAAGTTTGTGCTATGTTCTGCATCAAAACTGAATCTCGTTTCAATAGTAACCAAATAAAAAGTTGGTCCTACTCGTATCTATGAAGCATTTTTTTCTGTTATAGTATATGTAATACGCAAGAAATCGTTTGTACTCATGAATACTTTCATTCAGACATCTATTGAAATCTTTCAGTCTCTTTCTAAATAAACATGCTGTTCGTGTACACAATGAACATTCCGATGACATAGTCAAGTATGTGGACATATGATGATCGGATCGAACAATGATGATAATTAGCTTAAGAATGACAACGAATAATGATGACAAAAGGATTAGAAAATGATTACTATCGATAGGAGGATAAGAAAAAAAAAACTTGAACACATCTCAAATAAGAACATTTAAACGAAAGACAATAGAAGAGTTGTACAAATAAGTATATCAACATGTCGATATAGCAATAGGAAATGTATACGTTTGATTTTCTGATATTTATTGGTATTTTATGGTCTTTATCATTAATTGATGCTAAACGACGAGGTTTATTTTTGTTTTTAATTATTTAATTATGTTTTTCTTTTTGATTCTTTATAATTTCAGGTCAATCACAACATAATTTGGGTGATTTTTGCATTCCAGGTACATGTGCTAGTTTGAATTCCAATTGTAAACGTGTTGCAGGAAGTGCTTTTCGATGTGTTTGTAAAGATCAATATATATCTGTGAATAAAACTCATTGTGGTTTGTTGAAATATTTTTATTTCAAAAAAATAAAAAAATAAAAAGAAATTCTATTTGTTTTTCTTGTTTGGAATATTTAGTTAGAGTTATTAATGCATCAATGGATTCAACATGTACTTCATGTATTGAACGTGGTGGTGTTTGTTTAGATGAAAATTCTGATAATCATATGGATAAATGTTTTTGTCAAATAGATAGTGATTTATGTAATGGTCGAACAACATTATCATTAATACCTATGACAGAATCAATAGAAAAACAGTATATTGAACTTTTGTTATAGTTTTGTTTTGTTAAAAAAATTAATTTATAATTAGTCCTTTTAGTATGCCAGTTGTAACACCATTATTACCAAGTCAATCTGTTCGACAAGGTGAACTTATACTTGGCTTATATGATATAAATCAACAACGTTTAATTGATAATGGTGGTTCAGTTTTTATTGGTGATCGTCTTTTTATTGAAATAAAATATCGAACAGGTTCAATAGGAAATTTTTTTAAAAATTTTCTTATGTTGTCAATGAATTTCTTTTTTCCTTAAGTTGAACATAATCCTGATCGTCATCAAATTATAGCTGAAAATTGTTCAATAGCATCAAGTGTATCGGATAATGAAATAAAATTAGAAAAAATTTCTTTATTAACAAATCGTTGTCCATCATTGGATTCACGTTTATCAATACGTTTTCAACGTATTGATCCAGATCATATTAAAAGTACTATATTTCAAATGCATAAATTTGATACAACATCAATTGTTTATTTACGTTGTTCAATAGCAATATGTTATGGTCGTATAGAAAATTGTCAAGAAGTAAATTAATTAATTACTAAATTATTTTTTATTTGAAACAAAGAATATTTATTTTTGTTTTTAGCGTTTATGTCCAGAAATACGACGATCATCAACATTAAATCGTAATTCAATAAATATAATTAATTCATCATTAGCATCGACAACTGACTATGCTCCATTTGATTATGTTGATGAAGATGGTGCAAGTGTTATTGCATTACGACGACGAAAACGAAATGATATTGATGAAGAACAAACGAAAAAAAAATTAGCTAGATTATTATCTGATTTAACTTGGTCAATAGATCAATCATCATCAAATAATCTACTTGATGATAATAATCCTGGTTATTATGAAATACGACAAGTACAACAACAATTTACTATTGAATTACCATTACCTCAACCAGCACAAAAGTCGAAAACAAATTATGGTAAATAAATATTTCTTATAATCAATTTATATTTTTATTTTATAGAAGCTCTTTATGGTCGTTCATCATTAACAAGTCAAGGTGGTGTTGAACGATCAACTGTTATTGCTACGATTTCAATTATATTTATTATTGGTATATCAGTTTCATTATTTGTTGTTTATCGTGCATGTTATTTTGAATATGCACAACGAGTATATGGTTCACCCTCATTTGCCGGTTTTGGTAATGGTGGTGAATCGATCTATGCTGGTATAAGAAGTACATCACAAGTTTGTCGTTATGATATGGGACGTCGATCTGAACAGCGTTTTGATGAAAGTTTGTTTGCTACGAATGTAGAACCGTTAGGTGCTTATCGACGACAATATTAAATTGATTTATTACTATTATTTATATTATTTATATTATATCGACAATCGAATATGAAACAACAGATTATTCCTTTGATGTTTATGAAGAATGTAAAGGAAAAAAAAAAGAAAAGACTTATTTGAATATTGTTAATAGGTTTAAAATAAAATAAATGGAAAAAAATATAAATTTTAATCAGTACAGGAAATGTAATATTCTATTCCAATGAAAAAGAACTATTTCTATTCATTATGCCTATCATTCGGTTTTTGAACTTGTTCTTCGTACAATGTTCAAAATATGCAGCTTTATCAATCGAGTAACTGGTTCTAGTAGATCTAATAAAAAATTTTCCAAAAAAAAAAGGTTCTATTAATATTTTGAAGACATTGCCTTCGGCATTGTTATCAATATAATTATCTTGAGCTGTTTTCATTGATTTGTTTTTATGTCAAGACTACTTACAAAATATAGTGATAATAATATACTAAGATTATGCCAATCGGGTAATGTAAGATGAGGAATAAACTTCATAGAAAACAGATAAGTCATGTGTCATTTTAGTTATCCATTGACTTAAAGCAAGTGATACATAATAAATCTATGAACAGTTCTCGTTTTCAGGCACAAAAGAAAAATATCAATGTAGAAGTCTAAGCATTGAACTTCTGAGATGGAACATGAATGCAATATTCGAATGCATGTATGATGAGTACATAATTATTTTGTACTGATGTATAAGACGATAATAGTGTCGTTTTCACCGCTTGCTCTTGTCTTTTTTTTTGTGATACTGTTCTTGTAGATTGTAGATATCAACATGAGTGAATCAGAAGTACAGCAAACAACAAAATAAAAGATGCTTTATCTTTTGAATAGCACTTCACATTCAGTTTTCGTTAATTTCAAAGAATGAACACATTAGTGTATAAATCATATCAAAAAGATTGTAAAGAAATAGATATCAGTCATCAATCGCACGACATTAATGTTAGTCAACAGAACAAAACAAAGAATACTATTTTTGATCTTTATTCAACGCAGTAAGACATAACTTAATTCGAAAAATAAATTCATTAAATTTGTCTTCGCATTGTTCATGAATATATATTTATTGCTTAGGATATCTTGTTCTTTTAGAAATCTTACAGATAAATTAGAATATTTAAATTTCCACTCATGTCATCGGCATATGGAAAAATTGATCGACCAAAAGAATATGACTCATCGAAATTAGAATTATTACTTCCAATAGAAAATACAACTAAATCTAATCAATTAGTATCCGTTCATTCATTAACTACTGTTCTAAAACAATTAGAAGATGAATCAAAATTAATATGCTATTTACAATCTTTATTAAACAAAGAAATTGAAGTTGGAAATACTTATCCACAAAAATTTCCACTTAATTTATCTGAATTCAAGAATTATTTCTTATGTGGAGAAGCTTTCATTGTTATTAATAGTGGAAAAAAATTATCAATCGATATTTTTAATAATCTAGAAAAAGCCATATTAGGTACATTTTATATTAAACCAAACTTTCCTGGTCGATGTTCTCATGTAATTATTAAATTTTTTTTTTTTTTTGTTATCGAATCGATGATACAAAAGTTTCGCATGAATTTTAGTTTCAGTATAGTATGATAACAACTTGTTCTGAAGACTTGATAGTGTTCTTGTTAGAAAAGAGCAAAGTCCTCATAATCTATTTGTGTAAAAAAAATATTTCATTTAAAATACTTACCGAAAGTTAAAAAGCTTTAAGAACATGTTTAGTTAGAAAAGTTCTGTGTAAGCTTCTAACTTTTAACAGAATAATCTCCAATCATTAAGAAAGATATGGTTTTTTCTAACACAAGAAAACTACTGAAATTCTATGATGATCTGTTGTCATGCTATATTGAAAACAAAATTAATGTAAAAGTTTTGTAGTATCCGTTATTTACAATACTTTAGATCTGCAATGGAGGATTTATCACTTCGGATATATATCGAAATCAAGGCGTTGCTAAAATCATGGCATTAGCTTTCATTGAAATTGCTCCATTATTAGGTTATAAAGCTTCAATGTTTAATTTAGTATTTGCAAATAATACACCTAGTGTTCATCTTTGGAGATCATTAGGATTTCAAGAAATTGGAAGAATTCCAAATGCTGGTTATCTTATCAAAAAGAAAGAAACGACAGAACAAACCAATGCAGAAGTAGAAGAAGAATTTGTGGATGCCATTATGTTTTACTATAGTTTTACTTAATTGTTGGTTTTTTTTTTGTAGAAAAAAAATATGCACTGGCTTACAACTTATATATTGAGTAGATATGTTTTTCTTTTATGTAGATTATGAAATCATTTTATTATATCGTAGCATGTTTCTAATATTCTTCACTTTTAAAACTTACGCTAAAAAAAAATAAAGATTTCGCTTGACCTTGAGGATTCTAACTTATTTAGAAATTAATTTATAGTTTGAGGTCGTTTTATTGCTTTGATATGAAGAAAATTTTGATAAATACTTAGACAAAAAGATGAAACGTAGTGATTGACAGCGAAAAGTTTATTTTTAAACCATTTGATCGAAAATCTACGCAATTACATTTCCGTTGTATTCAGTTCGTTACAACAACGCATACAAAAGAAAAACATTTACATAAGTACAATGAGTCACTTTGACAACAAAAAAAAAACAATGTACAAGACAAACAGCTTTTACTCATATCTTTATATTTAATTTTTAAATAAGTTGTTAAAAATAAAGAGATGCTAGTATAGAAAACCTATTGAAAGATTTATAAAAATATTTTTGCTTGATTTCTGTGTGAATTTCATCATTCAAAAGAAATATTGGATGTGGCAATAGTTTTTTTTGCGATATTCCTTTTTTATAAAAATATTCAAGCATAGAAACACTACGTCATTCTAACGTTAGTGTCAGGAGGTACGGAATTTAATTCTCTAAAAACTTGTGTTGATTGTAATTCAAAACTATAGGACAAAATAAATTTATCGACTGCGTCGTGTCATTTCATGAGCGGTATATACTTTCTTTACAAGTATATTCGTATTGCCAGGGTTCTTTTTAAGTCTTCAACAAAGGTCTAAGAGACTGAGCACTTCTCATTGAACTTCAAGCAAAATACATTTTTCAGTATTATATATCATTGCTTGATGATAATACTATATATTTGTCTGACAGGAATCATTAGTTTGAGCGTCTACAACGAATATAACCACAGTATATAGTATTTGAACTTTTTCAACTGATTCGTTGTATGAAGTATTATATTGACTTCTAGTAAGAAGACTAATCAATGCTTTAAAAAATATGTTCTGATCCTAGACACTATTTGTAGAATACGTGTTTTGAAAATAATTAACCCAATAATGAAAATTATCGGTTTTATCAAAATATGATTGGTTATCTAATCAAAAGCATGCTTATTAAAAAACATTGTATGATGCATAATCGATAGGGATTTTCGAGTGTTGCTTAACAGTAGATCATATGTAGAAAACTAAATATTCTTTTACATATTAATAATGCATTATTAGATATTGTGCGGAAAGTAAATGCTATCGAGGAAATGGTATCATGTAGCCTTTATGTGTTTTGTTTCATCGCTTTTTATGTAAGTTAACAAGAGTTTGCAGAATGTTAAATTTTGTATCTCATGATAGGTGAATAAGGATCAAGTATCATTTTTATGTTCAAATCTTTGAAAAAAAAATGAATGGGTATAAAATTTTTGCTGTACAAGGTAAGTTTAAATATTTCGTCATTTTAAGTATTAATTCAATTATATTAAAATTTTCTTTCAGTTAAAAAAATAATAATATTTGTCTCATTCCATTGCTAAATCAATTTTAACTGTTTCTACCATCGATTTTTTTCTTTCTTTCTTCTGTTTTGTTTCCAACACTTTTTTCTTTTTTTTCCTAGGAATTATATTCCATAAGAACAAACAACTTCATTTCACTGTGTTTTATAGTGACAAGGCAACAACACAAATAATAAATGTCGAATAGTCGTCAATTTCTTGTTCCAGTTAATTATGATATTACAAAAGCAGTTTATTCAAATGATGATATTGTTCATAAACGGCAATATCTTATTGATGACATAACATCAACTAAACAATATTATGAAATAAGTATCAATACATTTTCAAGCGAAGAAAATTATGAATCAAAATCATATGCAGACAAATTGCGACAACGAGCAAAATATTAAAAACTTTTTTTTTCTTTTTTTGATTGTGAGAAGAATTCTTTTCTTTTCTGTTCTCTTTTTACTCTACCTAATTTCCTTTTTTTTTTCTTCAAGTCATAATAAAATAAAACTAGAATACGTAATACACATCTGTATATTCATTCTCAGTTATGTCGCACAATCCAAATCCTAACGCCGATACGCCAGGTTTTAATTATTCAACTGCAGCTGGTGTACCAACAAATACCAATCAAACCCATATCGGTTATGTTCCTCCAAGTGATAGTTCAGTTACAGAATCATCATCATCAGTACCTATGACCATTACAGATCCAACGTTACATAGTCCTCTAGGGCCATATGCTGATCGAAATTTTGGAAAATTAGGTAGTGAACATGGTGGAGCAGGAACAAGAACAGATGATCGAAAAGGTGAAACTGTTAAAAATGAAGGCGATACAACAACATCAACTGCTGAACATTGTCAACTACCATTATAAATATAAAGATGAACATATGAGACATATTTTTCATTTATTTTTGCAAAAATTTATTGTGAACTATTAATTAAGCATAAATAGATAGTAATTGTCAAAATTCTATGTCTTTTTTCTTGATTTATTCGAATAAAAAGTGCCTAGACAATCACCTTTCTTCAATCTATTCTATTATCTAAAAAAAACGACCTTAATAACCTACGTTTCTATGACACCTGATTCACATAAACCTTTCAAAGAGAGTCATTTGATTATAGTTAGCCTATCATAAAAAAAACGATATGTTATACTCAACTTTATATATTCAATTAACTTTTTAAAATACAAACTCATTGAAAATATATGACTGCAAGTTAAATTTGAATGATTTACCGTGATCGAGAAATCAGCAAATTTTCTACTAAAGTCAAATCGAAGCAATAAATGAATCATATCTATAAAAAAAAGATCATATCAGTTCCGGTAAACAAAGAATCTCAGTTTTCTATTCCTTCGAACGTCAATAAAACTATGACTGTCAAAGAAAAAAGTTTTGATTGATTATACATTTGTTCATTAAAAAAAGAGGTATCGTTGTTCGACGACTTGTTATACTGACTTTAGTGGTCAATAGTTCTCATGAAACAAATAAATATTGGCCATCCTATAATTGGCAAAGGCGAACTCAATTTAAAATTTAAATCATTCACAAGGGTCGAATACAATTCGATAGACATGAAGCTGATCATTTGTTTTTGTTTTATCATATATTGACGATCTTATCACAATCAGTTCAAGATATCTTTACACTTAATAAAGACGTAATGGCAACTACTAAAGTGATTAAACCTATTTATTGTTTTTGAATGTCATCTTAAGATGAAGACGAGTCGTCGAAAGAATACGATTCTTGATTCATATTAAAGTTGACTAAACGAATTTTACTTTTATAATACAAAGTAATCATATCAACATATTTATAAATAAACAAATTATTTGAAAATGAAATAACAAATAATAATTGAAAAATATTTTCTACTGATTTTCAAAACATTCATTTTATTTCAACATGAAATCACTCTATAAAAATATTTACTGTACACGATTTCTAGTTTTTTGAACTATACACTTCCTGTTAAATTAGAAACCAATATTGAAGTGCATCAAACATTTGCATACATATATATATGTCGTGCCGAAGTTACACTTCTTGCCGAAGTTATAACTTCGACAAAATTTTTGCCGAAGTTACAACTTCGACGGACGATGTTGTCGAAGTTATAACTTCGACGATTATTCTTGCCGAAGTTATAACTTCGTCAATGTATTTCGTCGAAGTTTAACTTCGACAAACATATTTTGTCGAAGTTAGTGTGAATGATAAAATAAATATCAACTTTCAAGAAATCAACAATATCTTTCATGTTGTATCTTAAAAATTATTTTTTTCCATCAGAACAATAATACAAAATTTATTTTTCAATATTATGACAAACGTGCGAATATTCAGACAAATAAAAGGAACAATATGTTAATTTTTTTCTGCGTTGAAATTATTAATGTATTATATAATCTTAGAGTTTCATAGAAGATTGTTGTATCTTTACAATCTACCAAACTCCTTTTCATCTGTATCGCAGTAAATACGTAAAAGTACAAGTCGAATGAATATTCATTCTTGCTGAAACGCTAGTATATTTGTCATAATATTGAAAAATAAATTTTGTATTATTGTTTTGATGAAAAAAAATAATTTTTAGGATACAACATGAAAGATATTGTTGATTTCTTGAAAGTTGATATTTATTTTATCATTCACACTAACTTCGACAAAATATGTTTGTCGAAGTTAAACTTCGACGAAATACATTGACGAAGTTATAACTTCGGCAAGAATAATCGTCGAAGTTATAACTTCGACAACATCGTCCGTCGAAGTTGTAACTTCGGCAAAAATTTTGTCGAAGTTATAACTTCGGCAAGAAGTGTAACTTCGGCACGACATATATATATATTCATTTGACTTGACTTATCCATGATTAACTCTATGTTAAAATGATCGTATAATAAAGAATAGTAATCAATACTACAATCTATTATAGAATGTTATCAAAAACAAAAAAGAAGAACAAGGTATATTTATATTGCTAACGTGATTAAAAGTAAACAAAACATACATATTCATTGCAAGACAAAAGAGATAAAAACAGGTATATATTTAACACAAAGACATTTATATTACGAAAGCAATATTAAATATACAAACATGAAAAAAAACAAAATCTTCAAAACAAAAATTTGAAGATATTAAAATTACATTTCTCATCCTCACTCGGTTTCTTTTTTAAATAATAAAATTAGAGATGGACAAAAAATAACAAACAATCAATGACCAGACCGATTTTATGTATGCGTACGTAAATTGTCTTCATAAAATTTGAGCAAAAATATTTGTGGAGCATATTTTTGATATAAATATTCGCCGAGTTCAGTAATCATTTCAGTCTTTGAATAATCAAATACATTAAATTTTATAATAATATTTCATTGTTTTTCTTTACTTACTGTCATTTGTGCTTGACTAACATTTTCAAGTATATTTAAAACACGTTGTAATTTTTCTGGACTTATTTCACGCAGACAATCTCTGAAAAAATAAATTGTTTTAAATATAAAAATTTAATGAATATATTTATAGCTAATAAAAGTTTATGAACTGCCGTTTAAAATAATTCTATGAGAAATCTATTAATAGCTATAATTTTTTGAGCTAGTCTACGAACTACTTACCACTGAATATGATAGATTAATATCTGATAAAATTAGTACATTTCCTTGGCTGAGTCTAATATATTTTCCATTGAGAATTATTTTAAATTTAGAGATAAAAAGGGATGTAGATTAGAAAAAAAAATAGTTTTTATAAAATGAAGAATAAAACTCAAATAAACTTAATATCTTTGACACTCTCTGAAGTTAATGAAAAATGGAGTTTCGCACAAAATGTAATCGATAATTGACAAATATATTGCTTGAAGGACAAATCAACTTGGTAAACGGACGGGAATGTACATGTGTACGAGTTATTGTAAAGAGTTGTTTGAATAGGTCTTTTTCAATAAGTTTGAACTGACTGATAGAAAACTTTCACACTCTTAGTCTAGAGCAGAAAATCCAGATGTATTAGTGATACATGTTAATAGATTGAAGAAAAAACTGATTTTGATGATCGCTTGATTCATTACACTCTCTACTAACGAGGGAATTCTTGAATTGATCAATTACTTTTTTAGTCGAGACTCTGCATCATGTAGGTCCTAATGAGTTATGAACACTCTGGAAAGATTCGGCATCCTCACCATATTCTTTTAACTCAATGACTAGATCCCTCCGTCAAGAACATCAGATCGGCCGGTGTATATCAACAATGTAAACGTATTGCTTCTACTATAATCGTATCTTAGCATGCCGAGAAGAAAAAAGATCTGAAACTTTCAAAATAAAATATTCTTATTAAGAACTATTTCGATGAGGCATTCAGAAATCAGTTTTCCTGATATTTCTGTAAAAGATTTCGACATTAGGTTAACAAATACCGCGAAATGACAGCATCTTTGCATCAATAAGATAAGGATCATAGCTCTTCTCAAAATATTCATTATCTACATGATGTACATAACCTCAAATTCTAAATCAATTAATTAGTTGAGAGATTTTGCTTGTAAGCCTGGACAATAACTCATTCTATTCTATCCAGAGAAAATAGTTACGTTTATCGTACTCTTTTAATGTTTGACAACGTTTATAAAGATGATTTGTTTGATGTAACGGAACTTCCATTGTTCGATCACCCGATGACCATGGTCTTGAAACTAATTATCAAAATCAAAACATTGATTTTCGTTTAATATATTTGTATATATTACTTTGCTCTGTAGGTAATGAGGGAGAATAGCCATCATAAACAATTGTTTTATCACTATCATTACTACTATTTGTTAATTCATTTGGATCAAGATCAGAATCTTGAACATTAGATGATGGTATAGGTGGTAATTTTAATGTAGCAGTTAACATAAAAAGTAAATCATTCATATCTTTTTCTCTGAAGAAAAAAAAAACATAAAATAAAATTTATATTTTCACTGAATATAATACTAAATATACCCTTCTTTTTTCTTTTCAATTTCAGATGAAATTAAATCTTGTGAATTTGAATGAGATAATTCATGATTACTATTATTTGATGTTATTTGACTTGATGATTCAATTGATGATTGTATGCGACTATCACGACGACGTTGACGTGCATTTGAATTTGAGTTATTATTATTTGAATCATATGATTTTGTAGGCTTTAATTTCGATTGTTGTTGTTGTTGTCGAGAATTTATATTTGATTCATGTTCATAAAGATCCATATCATCATCAAATGATAATTTATTAAGATTCGATTCAATTGATGATCCCGCAGAATTTTGCTTTACGTGTCTTTTTGGTTTAACAACAACCTAATAAGAAAATCAATCAAATAGAATAAAAAAATAACACAAAGAAAGAATGAAGCAATATTTACAATAACTGGTTGAGAAGGATTAGCATTCGATGGTATTTCATGTTCATCATCGGATGATGCTTGTTGATATTGTTTTAAATGATTATTTAGTTGTTGATCACGTTGGCGACGTTTTAATGTATCATTTTGACTAAGTTTGGATAGAAAATTTAAATCCGCTTGTTGATCATTGCTGGATAATGGACTACTTAAACGTACACGAAGACGACGACGAGCACGTGCATCACTTGATTGATTAACATCGCTCGATGGTAATGATCGACTAGCATCAGCTGAAGATGAGGAACCTGATGATGATGTTATGATGTTACTTGATGGACGATTATGTGACGGTGGTAATGGTGGAAAAGAAGGAAGTACAGGAGTATTATTATTTGAAAAACGACCTCCTAGAGATTTTTTTGATGATGGAGAACTAGCTGATGAATGTGGTAACTTGGCATCATTCGATATAGATGGAATAACAGAATTTATTGGAGTAGGTGGAGAAAATGAAGGCGGAGGCGTCGAAGAAGATGGAGAAGGAGGAACAGGAGGAGGAGCACTTGGCAATGGAGCAACGACTGATATTGGAGTATTTGAGTTAGCTTGATTTTGACATCTAATATAAAAAGAGATTAATAATATTGAACAAAATGTGAAAAATATCAGAATTTATCAGAGAACCACGAGAAGATCTCAGTAAGACTAGAATAACTTTAAAAGAATTCGTGTCCATCAAAGTCTAAAGTGGAGTTAGGACTGTTTCTACTGAATTGTCGAGCTGAAATTCAGCCTGTAGATAGGCTTGAAATGTTATCTAAACTTCCTTGAAGACTCAATAAGAGCTCAAAACAGCGAGTTACGATTCAGGTGGTTCCTTGTTAAATATCATTGTATTGGACAGTTTTTTTTCCTTATATTATTAGAAATAGTCATCAAATTCGTAATATTATCTACATAAACATTCGATTCTCAAACAAGTATCCTTTGAAGATGTCGAGAATGTACGTAATGAACATTGTTCAATAAAGAATAAGATTGAAAATCATTAAATTGATTATTTTCGTATTTTATTCATAATTGAATTCTTACTTGATTTTAGTTTTTTCTAATAATCGCACAATATGTCGTTTAATATAAGTATTTTGTAAGATTTTTTTCGCTGTAGGACGTTCATCTGGATTTTTACTGAGCATCGATTTAATAAGAGCTGTTAATGGTTCACTATATTTTTTTGATGTTTGTGGCATCTATATTTTAATAACAAAAAAAAAATAAATAAAAGAATTCAAAAAAAAAAGTGAAAATAAATAATTTAAAAACTCACTTGTCCACGAATTATTTTTAAAACAAGTGAATTCATATCTTTCGCATTAAATGCATGTTCAAGTGTTGTCATTTCATAAACACAACAACCAAGTGCCCAAATATCCGACTAGAAAACAAATAAAAAAAAAAAAATTTAAACAATCAAAATTTTCCTATTTGATATAATTATCTAACTTTTTGACCATAAGGCTTATTTGAAAATATTTCTGGACTCATATAATATGGTGTTCCAATAATTGTTGTTGCTAAATCATTTCCTGAATCTAATACTCTTGCAATACCTAAATCTCCAACTTTAACAATTTCATTTTTAGTTAAGAAAATATTCTGAGTTTTTAAATCACGATGAAGAATACTTTTATCATGCATGTACTAAATAGAGAAAAATTAAAATTAACGAATTTATTATTTTCTTTTGAAATTTATTATTTACTTGTAAAGCCATACAAATTTGTACAAACCATTCAACAATTTGATTTTCTGTTAGAGGTTGTTTATTAGCTTTTCTTTCTTTTAATTTTGTATATAAATCTCCACCTTCACAATAAGCCATAACTATATTAAGAAAACCATCATTTGAACGAAATGACTCAATATATGCAACAATATTTGGATGTTTCAATGTTGATAATAATTTAGCTTCACGTTCAGCACCTTCAATATCATTTTGTGTTGTTTCATTTGATTGTTGACGAAGATCTAATCGTTTAAGTACATATTGTTTAGTACTGGATTTTGTTGATGATGAATTACGTAATGGTAAAACAAGCCATACTTCACCATAGCTTCCTTTACCAATTTGTTTAAGAAATTTATATTTATCATTAACATCAATTTCATTAATATGTAGTGCAGGTTCAGATCTATTTGCTTGTTTCAACATTTTGTCAAAGAGTGATTAATAAGCTCGTTGTTAATGGTTCGATTTCGAGAATGTATTAGACGAAGTAGAACACGTGCATTTTAAAATAGTAGATAATGTGTACAAACGTGTGGGGGTGAGACTCATTCATTGATCGTTCATAACCAAGTTTTGTTGTCTTGGTTATTAGCTAAGGATGAATCATTGCAATACATATCAAAATTTAGTATATAAATAATATCAAAGTAAGAATTGATTTTGAACTAGACTTTTAAAATCAATTATTTTTTAGACATTAAAAAAAACATCAATAGTAGATGTCGTAAGTTACTGAGGTCTCAATGATTTTTGTTTAGCATAATAACCTATGAAGAAGACATGAGATCAAATTCAGGATCAAAAAATAATACTCTAATGAAATTGATTGATTAAGAAAAATATGAATTGAATAAAAAGTTCTATGTATGTCGATGACACTGCTATTATGTACAAACAGCCTAACTATAAAAAGATGGCAAGAAGGATGTGATAATTATTAAACAAACTACAATAATATAGGAAACGAAGAAATCATAAATATGAATAAGTACATAAACAAAATAAGAAATAAGAGGGAACAGATAATGCCTAACACTTTCTTATACCTCTCGGTTTGTGATAATTATACAATACTTGTGTAATACTCAGCAGTGGCCCGATAGAGGAGTGTCGAATGTTCAACATTTCTCAATCGTCGAAAATATTCGTTTTTTTCCAAGCAGAATCCAAAAATTTTCTTGTGTTCTGTTAGAAGAAGTAACGGTAGGGCCCTCAAAAATTCTCGACACTTGAGGCCTACCCCCCACAACTTGGCTACACTCCAATGTTGATTTTGCTGGGTTCATCTCTGGTAACACTTGTTGATGAAGCAAACAGCTTGAAGCAAACATTTCATCGTTCAAATTGTTTCATTTTAATGATTCATTTATCTGATATTCACTGATTGAATTCAAGTAAAATACTCACATTGTATAGTCTAAGACAGAGTAACAATTTTATCAGATAATACTTTTATGATTCAATCGTTTATAATGTATTATCACAGAAAGACAACAAGCATCTAATGATTAACGATTCTTTTGTATCGACTTTATGTTCTATCAAGATGTTTAACACGCGTTGGTGGTGTAACGGTTAGCATGGTTGCCTTCCAAGCAGCCGACCCGGGTTCGACTCCCGGCTAACGCACTTTCGTTTTTTTATTTTTTTCTTAGTTTTTTTATAAATTTCTATTTCTCTACAAAAAAAAAATTATGAAATTTAGATATATATTTAAAGTTCATTTTTCAAATATCAGTATCATCATAATATCGAGAAGCTCGCTGTAACGTTTGCCATTGTTGTTTTGATTGTTGTAAAGACATCTGCAACAAAAAGAGAAAGCAAAAATTTTTAACATACAGCGAGTAGCAAAATTATATAACAAGATTTATTTTCAATTTTTTCACTGCCATAAGCGCTAGAAATAAAAGATAGAGACTCCAGAAAGCTAAAATCCGAATTTTTTAGCATCTTGAACAGGTAAATCTAATGTTGTTTACACTACATAAAACGATAGATCAAACAATGCTCTAAAAACTGAGATGTCTTCGAGTTCTATGCAACCTTTTTTAGCTGTAATATAGCAATCTGACGAAAGTCCCTAAAGTCGTTTTTTTTTCAATTTTCTATACAAAAGCCAATTTTTGGCCTTCAATCAAATTGCTTTTGCTCAGCCAAAAAAGTCTCAGAGAACTCGGAGATATTTTCTTTTGTAGACAATGGTTTATTCTATCGTTTTATGTAGCCTAAAGAACATTATATTTACACGTGCTAGGTGTTGAAAAGCTAGAGTTTTAATCTTCTACAATCCCTATTTTTGGAAATATGATAATCATTTTAATTTCCTTATATTCTTGTTGAAAACCATTATCTCTATTCGAATTACTGTTTAGGTTTTTTTTAACGATTGCGACAGCGATAAAAATTGAAAATAAATTCGTTGAATAATTGTGGTAGCCAGTGTATATATATTTCAATTCGATTCTCTTACTGAAACAAGTTCAACTTTTCGTTTCCAAACTTGACAATCACGTTGAAGATTACACAATAAGGATTTTCTCTTAACATAATCTAATATTTCTGGTGCTTGATAATTTTCTATTTGATAACTTAAATTATGATTTTTTTTACTAGCTCGAGATTTTTCATAATTAGCTTTATTTATTTCTTGTTGAGTAAATTCATATAATGTATCTTGTTTATTAATCCGTTGTTGAATATCAATTAAATCTATTGTACTTGTATTTAAATTAGCTTTATAATAATTGAGTAATTTTGTAATTTTTGCAACTTTTTGTTTAAGTAAAACAAGTTCAATATTTTTCTCATCAATTTTATCTAAATATTGTTTATTTTCCATTTTTAATTGATTAAAATCTACTTCAGTTAATGTTTCTCCCATTTCTTCTTTTTCTTTTAATTGTGCATCTAAACGTACTATTTGTCTTTTGAAACCTGATGAACGATCACGTAATTTATTTATTAATGATTCACGTGCTTGAAGATGATCATGAAAATAACGATCTATTTTTTCACCAAGTACTTTATGTGTACGTTTATCAATTGATAAATTTTTTGTTTTTAGAAATTCTGCTATAGATAATTCAAAATCCGATATTTCAATATCAATCCATTCAACATCAGACTGAATCAAAAAAAAATTTTGTAATTCACTTTAAGAATATAAAAAAGAAAGAGCTATGAAATCAAACCTCAAATTGATCAAGTCTTTTTTCATTGATTGTTTCACGACGTATTCTGTCAATTTTTCTTTGTTCTAATTCTGATATTATGATAGCAAGTTTTTGTTCGAATGTTAAATGTATACGAAGATCACTTTGAGTACTTCGAGATTTTGATTGTTTACGTGCTAAACGATCACCTCGATTTGTTGTACTTGCATTTGTTAAATCTTGATAGGAACCAGTTGGTGTTGTTGCCTGAGATGAACTAACTGGTGGTATGGTTGATGCAGTATGAGAAATAATTGATTCAGATTTTTTCCGTTCCAAAGCTGTTTCAAAAAAGGAATTTTCAAATTTTAATTCAACTATTTCACGTCTAAAGAGAGAAAAAAAACATAAATTATATATTTATCAATTTTTCTGATTGTATAGTAGTTTTAAGTAATCTATCTAATTTAGTAAAGAATAAAGAGAATTTCATATAGTTACTCGAATTTTTCTAAACGTTGTTTAAGTTCAAGGTCATCAGTATCATCGAACATAGTACTGCTGCGATGACGAACAGGAGATGTTTCATTAATAAGTGACTTTGTTTCAATCATGTTGTTTTTTTAATATTTACATAGTAAATTGAAGTGAAAGAACAAGCGATCAAATTGCTGACAGAAAAATGTTACTATCGGTGATAGCCTCTTTTCAAAAACAATTATATGTATAGGAACAAGCAGATGTCGTCAACAATATTAAAAACAACTAATAAATACAGTTTGGAACATTCAGATATGTATTTATTAGACCCAGTATTACCTTTATCGAACGCTATATCTATCAAACTAATCGTTTACGGAATCAATCTGGTTTAAAATAATTAACATAATATTCTACAACCAATTTTTTTCTGACTTCGAGTCTTGTTTATGATAGTTTTCGTTGTAGTTTGAAGCTCAAGAAAACGTTTATTAGTAGCAAGTTTGAAATGATTCTGTATTATTGTTCATAAATGTTGTGTCATCAATTTAATACTGAAAATCAATGTACCATTCAGTTGTTTGCATATTACCATATTTTTTCAATAGACTAGCAGGAATATTAATTCACCTATGAACGATGTTATTCATTGCTTAGAACATATTTTGATTCTAACATTTATTATTTTCAGAGAAACTAATCTAAAAAAAGTCTATTCTATTTCATAGAAATTGCCTAGATGAATATATTAATATTCAAAGCAATTATTTCAATTAATAGAAAATTCATTTGCTTTTCAATCGTATAAAATTAAGAAATCAAAGAAGTGGAGCACTCAAGAACATATTTCAGTCTTTTTTCGATTTTCAAGGTCTAGGCTAAGTAAATAATGTATAGAATGAAAGATCATGGCTTTCAATCATTTTGGTGTTAAAGTTGAAGTATTTTTAATTAGTTAATAGGTGTAAGCAGGGTTGACTATTCACGACATATTGAATGGCGCAACTAATCATTTATACTAAATAACAATATGAACATTTGTTTAGAAAAAAAAAATGCAGATGATGATTGTTGAAAGTTATTTTGATAATTCATTTCTCGAAAACGAATCTCCAATCGTTTTCATAGCGAACCCATATCCTGAATGTGCATTTCATTTAAATGAGGTACACCGACCACGCACCTACGACTAGTGCACATCTGAACAGTAAGTATGATTGATTTTCTAGCGACTGCCTCGACACTCACTTTCTTTCTTGTATGTTCATATAGCGGTCGCGCCTTTTTACATACCATCTGTTAAACTCTATTGGTAAGATGTTTTAGAAAAAAACGCATATCACACGCTGACAAACTCGCTCTTTTAGAGATGCTGTGCATTTTATTACTTCATTTTGATACTCGTTTGTTATACATATAAAGTATATTGTACGAGATATTAATTAAAAATGATCCTGATAGAAACTTGATCGCATCTAAAACTTAGTGAATTTTACTGAGATGAGCATTACATTCAAAGACGGCTTAAACCAGAGATGGTCAAGTCAGAGGTTTTTAAGGTTCAAGTCAAGTCATTAATCGCCAAAAAACTTACTCAATCAAGTCCAGTCAAGTCAATTCAAATTAAGAGCTTAAGAAAAATTTCTCAAGTCAAGTCAAAGAGTTCAGAAAAAATTTCTCCAGTCAAATCAAGTCAAAAAATGGGAAACAATGGAATTTGTCTCGAAAAAAATGAGGAAATGATCTCGGAGTGTTTAATTAGTCCCAAAAAATGATGAAATTGATATTGTTTTTTTCCGAGTACAAATTATGAGGAAATGATCTCGGAAAAAAACTTCTTAACGTTGAATCAGCGTGATTGAAGGAAAAGATCTCGGTTTATTCTACATATATGCGCGTATGGTTATATAGAGACTAATGTATATATTGAATATAAAGAATGAACAGAAGAGTTAAAATGATTCATCTGATGATATGATGTATGGTGACGAGAGAATGGTTGAGTAGCATCATTTACAAAGCATCTTTTAATTCTGTACAATATACTATACGCATAAGTATTGTCTGAAATAACATGTGATCACCAATAATCTATTCGTGTAGATATAATCGGAAGCAATATTAGTGTATCCACTCAACAGGTCCTATAATGATCTGGGGAGTTCGAACAACTCCACAGTTAATTGGGAAAAGAAATGGCAAAGGACGAAGAGAAAAAGGTTAAATACTCATTGTCGAAGAACTGATTTTTCATACACCTTTCTCATTTATTTTTTATTGGATATTAATAAATATAAAATTATTGTATATTCGTTATCATACTGTACTTTGTTTATTAGTAAACAGATAAACTAGGACACTACATTTCCATTTTCTCTTTTACATATCGAACCGAGATCTTTTCCTCTAATTTTGTTGATTCAACATTAATGAGTTTTTTTCCGAGATCATTTCCTCATAATTTGTACTTGGAAAAAAAACGAGATCAATTTCATGATTTTTTTGGACTAATTAAGCATACCGAGATAAATCCCCTTATTTTTTCCGAGATCATTTCAGCGTCGTCCCAAAAAATGACTATATATTCTCATCTGGCCGCCGCTTCTCTGAAGCACATGAAAGAATTTATTTTTCTTTGTTTCTGCTCTCATAGGTACTTTTAGTGTAGACAAGAATTAGACGCATAAATTGCAAAAATATGTCCATTTTTTAGTTAACTTGTGACTTGCCTTTGAAGGCCAAGTCAAATCTGACTTGACTTGATTTGCCCATCTCTGGCTTAAACCTGAATTTGTACAAATTTAATCGCTAAGCAGGTAAAGATTGAAACGAGCACCTTATAAATATGTATTTATGTATGATTATACCTTGCCTAATTAACTATATTTTCGTAATATTTGCAAGTTTTCATTCTTGTTCTTATCCGAGTGTTCAAATCTGTAACATTGATAGTCAAATACAAGTCAACATAAAATTTTCCACGAAACAATAGATGTCACCAGACTCCAATAAAGCACTCCAACGATATCTGTCCATTGTCCTCCATCAAAAATTCAAGTCCATTTTCTTTTCTTAAAAATTTTATAGTAAAAAAACCAAATGAAAACCATTGAAATTCATTTTGAAACAAAGTGGATGATCAAATTCATATATCCTTCATTAGTTGTAAATACTCACCAATAGACTTCTTCCAATTTTACTGCTATCTTATTTTTATTTCTATCATTACATTCAAGTTATTTTTTTTTGTTTATGTACTTATTATTACATTTCTAGTTCTTTTTTCTTGTATTTATAACTTTCAATTTTGATTTTCTAATATATTTTTGTAATTTTAGATCATTCACGAGACCATAAAAATATGGCTACCACCGCAAACATCTCGAAAAAACGCAAAGTAATTTAGTCAATTCAATTATTTTCATAATGAAACTTTTGTTTTCTTTTTTTAAATGATTTTAGTTTATTCGTGAAGGTGTTTTTCATGCTGAACTAAATGAATTTTTCACACGTGAATTAGCCGAAGATGGTTATTCAGGTCTTGAAATTCGTGTAACACCACAACGCACAGAAATTATCATTATGGCAACTAAAACCCAACAAGTACTTGGTGAAAAAGGTCGTCGTATTCGAGAATTAACATCAGTTATTCAAAAACGTTTTGGTTATCCAGAAAATTCAATTGAATTATTCGCCCAAAAAGTTGTTACACGTGGTTTATGTGCTATAGCTCAAGCAGAATCATTACGTTACAAACTTATGGGTGGTCTTCCAGTACGACGGTAAATTTTGAGAAAAAGAAAAACTTTTAACATAAAACTAATCTTGTTTTTTTTCTTCACTCTTTTATAGAGCATGTTATGGTGTCTTACGTTTTATAATGGAATCAGGTGCTCAAGGCTGTGAAATTGTTGTTTCGGGTAAATTACGTGGTCAACGTGCTAAAGCTATGAAATTTATCGATGGTTTAATGATTCATTCGGGTGATCCAGTTAATGATTATGTACAATTTGCTGTACGACATGTTTTATTACGTCAAGGTGTACTTGGTATTAAGGTTAAAATAATGTTACCACATGATGCAAAAGAAGGCAAAGGTGTTAAAAAACCATTACCAGATCATATTCAAATTGTTCAACCAAAAGAAGAAACACCTATTACACAACCATATTCTGAACCAAAAGAAAGAAAAATAGAACCAGTAAAAATAAAACATATTTTAGAATGAAAACTTTTGAAAATTTAATCTTTTGTCTTTGTATTGTTTTAGTTACCTCAACAAATGGTTCATCCACAACAATTACAACAACAACAATTACCACCTCAACCAGCACAATTACAACCAGGAGCACCAGGCAATCTTGTTTATCAATAAGAAAACAAAATCCGAATGGTCAAATACGAAAAAAAAGAAGCTATATTTAGTACCATCATTATTTTTGATTATCTGTTCTTGCTTTTAGGCTTTATAGCCATTTTAAGCAGCGAATAAAGAAAAAGATAAACTTATAAAGATTAATTTAAAATCTGTGATTAATTGAAAGCATAAATATCTAATGAAGATATTTATTTAATTTTTGAAAATTCAATATAGGTTTTTTTCGGTAACGACAGTTTATTCATGGTAGTTTTCAATCAACGTCCATTAGTAAAATAATATCTTTCAAATGGATTGCAATTACTAATAATATATCAAAGAGAAATCTAATTTGGAAGAAAAATGCATATATTTGTTAAATATACGTAGATTTATATTTCCTGAAAGAGGTAGGAAGAACTAATGGATTCGATCCCAGTAATATAACTCAGTGGCGGATTTAGGGGGGGGGCGCTTGGGGCGATCGCCCCCATTCGAAAAAAAATTTTCGATTTTTCCCAGCAGAAAAGACTTAAAAATAGAGTGCATAATACTACTAATGAACTTCACAACTCGATTTTTGGTCAAAATCGCCCCATATCTATCAAATCGCCCCTTATCAAAAAAATCCTAGATCCGCGCTGATATAACTTCAATTTGAACGAATTTCTGTTTAATATCAATGTAGTTCATCACTATGCATAAATTCAGATATAAATGTATATACTCATAAATTCTTTTTTATGTAAGGTGCCGGCAATTCGAATTTCAAGTAAAAAATTTTTTTCAGGTTTTTTTATATCATTTGATAGACCAGAAGCTGTTGATCATGAAAATCTACTTTTTAGCCTTATCAAATGCTTTCTTTCGGTCGAAAAATACGAAATACTCGAGAGATGTCGTTTTTCGAGAAAAACACATTCTTCCTCGAAATGTGCAAAATTTTCTACTTTATTCTTTTTTTCGACTTCTGAAAATATTTTTTTCAGATTCAGCATCAAAAACTGAGTAGAAATAACTCGTGAAACTGACTGTAGACCCAAAACTGTATTGGTGGGAGCGCTTCGAATCGCGTTGAGTGCACCACGTATAGGTCGATTTTCTAAACCTATCTAGTCTTTCTACGTAAGCGATGGAGCCAAATATTTTGTCTCATTCTATTTATCATACCACCTGTCAGCATGCCTAGTATCAGTTTTTTTCTTTTCCTTTCCTAAGTTGAAAAAACTCGGTTTTACTTGAACCAGAGCCATTTTAGCCAGTATTCAACGGTTTTCGGATTCAGATAGGACGTTTAATCACAAACCAATTACAGATTTGAAATCAGCACAAAAAACTGAGTCGAATGAAGTATCTTTTGAGTTAATTTCACAACTTTCATTTTTCGACCCCTATACAGCAATTTCAGTTCTGAAAAAATCAGAAAAAATGAAAGTTGTAAAATTAACTCAAGCGATACTTCATTCGGCTCAGTTTTTTGTGCTGATTCCAAATCTGTAATTGGTTTGTGATTAAAAGTCCTATCTGAATCCGAACACCGAGTTTTCTCAACTTAGGAAAGGAAAGCAAAAATACCGATACTAGGCGTGTTGAGGAGTAGTATGATGAGTCAAATGAGATAAAATATTTGGCTTCATCGCGTACGTAGAAAAACTAGATAGGTTTACAAAATCGATCTATACGTAGTGCACTCGATACGGCTCGAAGCGCCACCACCAACAGAGTTTTGGGTCTACAGTCAGTTTCACGAGTTATTTCTACTCAGTTTTTGATGCTGAATCTGAAAAAAATATTTTCAGAAGTCGAAAAAAAGTAGAAAATTTTGCATATTTTTAAAAAGATGTGTTTTTTCTCGAAAAACGACACCTTTCGAGTATTTCGTATTTTTCGACCGAAAGGAAGCATTTGCTAAGGCTAAAAAGTAGATTTTCGTGATCAGCAACTCTCGCTCTATCAAATGATGTAAAAAACGGCAAAAGAAATTTTACTCCAAGTTTGAATTGCCTGCACCTTATATCAATTGATATGTTCTAGCTAAATGAATCTTATCCTTTGTTTTATTTTGAGACAACGGTTAACCATTGATTTTTAACATATTCGTGCAGTTTAAAATACCTTCCGTTGATTATAACATTGGTTTGCACCGATAGTTTTGTTTAAAGACAGTTTATTCGTACATCAATTAAATTGCCTATGAACAGATATTAAATGAATGAATTCGATTGAAGAAGTTGTCGAGAAGGAATAATAGTAAAATCTATTACGATATAAAAATTAATCAAAAGAAAGCGTAGACTATGAATTTATATCCTTAGAAATAATATGAAACAATGAGAAGATCATAATCGAATTTAAAAAATTGTCATTGAAATAAGTCATAGGTCATATTTTTGTATTTTATGCGTTTGACAACACATAGGGTTACACGCTGGATAAAGTTGACTCACTTTTACATAAGTTTCTTCAATGAAGCGTAACAAAAAAAAAGACTTATTAAATATCATTCATTGAGGTAAATATAAAAATGTCGGCAACAGTTGTTCTTGTTGGTACGTTTGATACGAAAGGTGTTGAATATGATTTTGTTCGAAAACAAATTGATGATATTGGTACATGTTCCGTATTTCTTATTGATGTTGGTCTTCAATCCAGTACTAAAACATTACCAGTCGCCGATATTTCATCAATATCAATTATTAAAGCTGCTGGAGGTGATTATAAAGCATTAGAAGAACATAAAATAGAAAAGGCTGAAGCATTTAGTCTGATGACAAAAGGTCTTACATTAAAATTAAATGAACTCTATCAATCAAATCGTTTACATGGTCTTCTTGCATTAGGTGGTTCATGTGGTACGGCTATCGTATCTGAAGCCATACAACAATCGAAAGTGTTACCTATTGGTTTACCTAAATTAATTGTATCAACTGTAGCTGCTTCAAGTAATGCTCATACAGCTGTTGGTTTAAGTGATGTGACTTTAATGCATTCTGTTACTGATATTAGTGGTGGCATTAATCGTATTAATGAACCTATTTTAGCTAATGCAGCTGCTGCTATTGCTGCCATGGCTTCACGTTATTATTCATCTATGACTCAATCAAAAGAAGCAACATTTGATAATGCACCTTTAATTGCTCTTACAATGTTTGGTGTGACAACACCGTGTGTAATGGAAGCAAAGAAACAACTAGACGAACTTGGTTATAATACAGTAATTTTTCATGCTACAGGTATAGGTGGTCAAGCTATGGAACGTTTAATTGAATCTGGTTCGATTAATGGTGTACTTGATATTACGACAACAGAATTAGCTGATGAACTTGTAGGTGGTATACTTTCAGCGGGTCCAGAACGATTAGAAATTGCTGGACGAAAAGGTTTACCTCAAGTCATTTCACTTGGAGCACTGGATATGGTTAATTTCGGTCCTCGTCATACAGTACCAAAACATTTTGCTGAAAACCGTTTGTTGTATGAACATAATGCTCAAGTAACATTAATGAGAACAACAAGCGATGAATGTACTCGACTAGGTGAAATTATTGCCCAAAAACTCAATCAACATCAGGGGCCAAATCGAGTATGTGTATTTGTTCCACGTGGTGGATTTTCTTTAATATCAGGTATGTAACTTTGACTTTTACTTTATGAACTCTTTTTTTATTCTTTATAAATTATATTTTAGTTGATGGTGGTCCATTTTGTGATAAACAAGCGGATACATGTCTTATTGAAGCATTACGTAAACATGCAGATACAACAAAAGTTGAAATTATTGAACGAAAGGAATCAATTAATGATCCGTCATTTGCACATGCCATGGTTCAAGCATTACATGCTCAAATGCAATACAAACCAGTTCAGAAGCTTCATACTGAACTGGTTCAGAAACAGATAACAAAGCCACGAAATCGTCGTGAATGTCTAGACCGACTGAAATCAGTCGTAGACGAAGGTCGAATTATAATCGGTTCAGGTGCAGGCATTGGTTTATCAGCTAAATGCATTGAAGAAGGTGGTGCTGATCTACTCATAATTTATAATTCAGGACGATTTCGTATGGCCGGTAGAGGTTCATGTGCTGGTCTTCTCTCATATAGTGACGCTAATGCTATTGTTCTTGAAATGGCAGGTGAAGTATTACCTGTTGTAAAATATACACCAGTTCTTGCTGGTGTCTGTGGTACTGATCCTTTTCGATTGATGCCTCAATTATTGAAACAAATTAAAGAAGCAGGCTTTATTGGAATACAAAATTTTCCAACTGTTGGTATCATTGATGGTCGTTTTCGACAAAGTCTTGAAGAAACTGGCATGGCTTATGAACAAGAAGTTGAAATGATTCGACACGCTCATTTAATTGGTTTAGTTACTGCACCATATGTCTTCAATGAAGATGAAGCTCGAAAAATGACGGAAGCTGGAGCAGATATAATTGTTGCACATATGGGTGTTACAACTAAAGGTGCTATTGGAGCGAAATCTTCATTAACATTAGATGAATGTGTTCAACGTATACAAGCTATTCATGATGTTTGTATTAAAATTAATCCTCAAGTAATTGTACTTTGTCATGGTGGTCCATTAGCTGAACCAAATGATGTGCAATATATTCTTGCACGAACACATGGTATTAAAGGTTTTTTTGGAGCATCGAGCATGGAACGATTACCTACAGAAATTGCACTTGTTGAAAATACAAAACGATTTAAACAATTAAAACTTATAAACAAGGACTAATCTTATATTTTCACATACTCATTTTCATTGATTTAGATAATTAAGCGTTACATGTAGTGACATATAATAGAGTTATACTTTGAAGCCATTATTATTTGTAAAACTAACAGTAATAGAACGAACCTTTTCTCTTATAAATCATTATGTGATGTAAAGAGGTTATTTTTTGAGATTATATTAAATAGTATAGATTGAAATTTTCTTTATATTGCTGATTCGTTAATGAATAAAAAATAGAAAAAACTCTGCAATAGTTTTTATTTCTTCGTCTTTTC